AATTTGTATATGAGAATTATAACAGAATAACAAGAGTTGGGAGGGACCTTGGAGGTCTTCGAGTGCAACCCCCCCCCCCCCAATACCAGGAATGTGTGTGTCTGTGCGCGCGTGCTGGAGCACCACAACCCAGAAGAGAGGAACTGGCCAGTGCGCATGCACGTGGCAGCCAGCTGCTCTTCCAGATTCCGTCACAGGCATGTGCACTGGACAACTGCTCTCTTTTGGGTTCCATCGTGTGCATGCATGCTGGCCAGCTGTTTTTTGCGCGAAGACCAGCTGGCGACAGTACACGTGACCACAGAGAGGGCTCTGCGTGCTCCTAATTTCTCCTTAGTTCTAGGTTGGTTCTCTCTTTGATTAGTTCCCATCCATTGCTTCTTATCCAGCCTTTAGGTGCTTTGGAACAATACTATTTTTGTAAAGAGGTAGAAAATTTCTAGCGTTTACCCCTTAGTAAATTCCCACCCACCCCCCACCCCCACCGTGTCCTAAAACAGGTGCACAGCTTCTAGCAGACCCACAGCATGCCAAGGGCTTCACTTCCAAAAGTGGTGCCTTCAAACAGTAGTGATTATGGCCATAACGCCAATTACATTTGATGCAATTAGGGTCAAGAACAGTGAATAGGGAGTCTTCTCCGTTTATGAATGCAATAATTTTCCTCATCAGTCACAAAATTACAACTTCATAGCAAGGTTTATAAGGGCACTCAACACTTTGGAGGTATTATGATGGATCCTTCCAAGGATCAAACCATCCTTGGAACAGAGGGAAGAGAATAAGATACACGGGCATAAGATCTGTAAGAAAAACATAGCTTTGATTAAGGATTCTAATCTTTGAGAATAATGGACGTCTACATACACGTACCTATCTCTCCATTTTCCATATGCCTTATGTCTGGTCTTAACCGGCAATCAGTAGGAGCCAATATATCTTCCATGCCCTTCTCCAATTCATTGAGAGTGACAGTAAAACTGGTGAAATTGTACATCTGAAGCAGAAACAGGAATGTAAACACACACCTTCCTCTCTAAGGGGTGGCACTGATATTAGCCCACAAGTTATGAATCAAAGTAAGACTGTTTTCCACAAAAAGCTATTAATTTTTTATAGTTAATTCCCAAAATCTTATACTAAAAGTCAACATTCCAAATTTAATTACAGGTAATCCTCGACTTACGACCACAATTAAGCCCAAAATTTATGTTGTTAAGTGAATTTTGTCCCATTTTACCATCTTTCTTGTCAGTTAAGTGAATCACCACAGTTGTTAAATTAGTAACAAAGTTGTTAAGTTAATCTGGGTTTCCCATTTAATTAAATTTAATCTGATGTCTTAATTTAGTTGGGTGCTGAAAAGGCCCTGGATATTGGGGTTTTATTTCTGCTACCTGGAGTCACCATGAGTGAGTTGGATGGCCAGATAAATTTTCTTAATAAATAAAAATAAAAAAAATATTGTGCTAACTGAATTTATGAAGTGTATTCTAAGAACATCTGGGATTCCACCATCTTTTGTTTACTGGATTACAATCTGGCATCTCTATTAAGGGGCTAGGGTTATTACAAATACATGAATTTATCAACCTATCAACCTACTGCAACGTGGCATTTAAAAGAAGATAGTCCCTTGTCTCCCTCAATCTTTAATTTGGTTTACTCTGCTACATCATCTTTAAATTAATAAAGATGTAGTGGCACCCAATACTGCATATAAATTGTTTTAATATGCCAATGTTATTATGGCTGTCCTTGATAACAATGTTATTGTATGTTCAAATTATACAGCAATAGTTTACATTCTGATTATATTAAGAATTGCAGTAAGTCTAATCTGTTGATATCTACGATATCTATATATTTGGAAGGAAAGGGTGACCCATTGAAAAACCCTGAAGGACCATATTAGAGACAGATTGTCATGGGGAACATGTATCTCGGTGACCCTGACTTGATGGCACAAAATAAGAATTCCATAGACTACTATGGAAGAGGTTCAACTTAATATCAATTCCATCCGAGTTCCAAAAAAAACCTTATGGCTAATGAGCAGTTTTACAGCATCAGAATTAACATTTCAAGTATTTGACAACTGGTGATCTTTTATTCATCGAACTCTTTTAATATTCTAAAAGGTAATGTATTCTAATCTACTGCTGTGCTTTCGGTCAAGTATATAACATGAAAATCCACTTCCAATGTTCAGAGCTGCTCACCTGTGATGAATTCGATGGCCTTGAGCTTATCCTCCAAAGTAGTTTACTGCCAGGTATAACTTGCACAGTTTCTTGAACGTCCGGCATATCATCGGCTTCATCGTTTTCAGGTTCATCTCTCTTAAAATGAAATAATTACGTATATTCAATCAGAAGAGCACCAAGGAATTTCAGAACTACTTTCAAGCCACACATGGCTTTCCATTTAGGCACAACACTTCCTGGTTCCTTAAACCAAAGGTTCTGGAGACCTTAAACAGCAAGCTATGATTTAAGGCAGAGAATTTCCAAACTTGGAAACTTTAAGACTTGTGCACTTCAACTCCCAGAATTCCTCGGTCAGCCACGCTGTCTGGGAAATTCTGGGAATTGGAAGTCCACAAGTTGCTAAGTTTGGAGACCTCTGGTTTGACTCCCAACTCTTTCTCCGACATTATCCCATTTGGATATCCTTGGGGGAAGATTTAAAAACCACGAAGCAAATTTAGAAAAGGAAATGGGAAGAAGAATGGGGAAAGACAGAGCGCCCGCCCACTCGCCACTTGCCTTAACTGCCTGCTTTCCCCACCCATCCCGCCCTATATATGCCACTGCCTTCATCACGCAGCCCAGCTAATCGCCTCATGTAAGTCACTCCTCAGGTGACCTGACCTTCCCGGTAACACACTCGCTTGCGCATGCGCACAGACTCTGCTCTGCGGCTGTGGCCTACCTAAGCTGCCTTACTACATCATTCTTCCTAGGCTAAGCTATGTTATTAAAAAAGGGGGGGAAAGAGTAACTAATATCAACCATAGTTAAAGAGCGGAAGATAAAAAGAAGCAAAGGATAGCTGGTTCACATCATCCCTGTTCATTTTTCTATCCTTAAAATCTATCTTTGCTTCAGCCACGCCATCGACCCAGTCATACATTGCCTTTTATTCATTAAAATCACCCCTTTCCTCTGTGCCAATGTCTGCTCCTACCTTACTCTCACTTTTATACTAGTTGTTACATTCCCACCTCCCACTATTATCAAGGACCAAACATCCCTCTTTTTTCAATTTCACCCTTTGCTTGCTCATTTTGTCAACAGGGACTCTAGAGGTCTGCCATTACAATGAATTGCAGAGGGAAAGGAGAGCAATGGAAAAAGATGTACAGTGTTTCTCGCCTTAAGGCAAGATGGGTAGCTTATAAATTTAATGAATAAATTTTTAAAAATCTATATACAGGTAATCTTTAGACTTTCAACAGGCCACTTAGCAACCATTCAAAGTAAAAATAGACTACCTCACAGCTAATTATGACGCCGATTCGAGGTTGGAAGGCGACCCCCCACTTCGCCCTGCGGTCACATTTTGGGTGCTAAGCAACTGTCAGCACTTACGGCCATTTGCCGTGTCCAATGGTCACTTGACCATCATTTATGACTTTTTGGGCGGAAATCTGTATTTATTTCCAATTTCTGGCAAAAAGCAGACCGCAGATTTGTTTAATGACTGCAACATTCGCTTTGCGACTGCTGCAAAAACAGGTGTAAAATCGGTACAGCCACAGGTGACCTCCTTAATGATCGGCATGGCACGACCGTTAATTCTGGGTTCAATTACGGTTGTAAATCAAGGACTAATTGCAATCCCTGATTGCACTGGATAAAACCTTGGATAATCCCAGAACTTAACAAGGTAAACGATGGTACCCTTGTCATAATTTAAGCAATAATCATCCAATTTACACTGCATCCTATTTAGAGAACATGTATCTTAAAATGACGGGCAAGCTCCCACTTTCATAAAACTTACCGGCTTTGGTTTCTTCTGATCGCCACCTTTCCTCTCGTTCTTCTTGTAGTTTTCGTAAGAATAAGGATCAACGCACCACAAACATTCTGTCCATTTCCCATAGATGACTGACAGTTTCTTCTTACTATTTTTAAAAGACATTTTACTTTACTCAGATTCTGTGCATTTCCAGCCTACTTAAAATCTGATAGAATCTAATTCAGCCCTAACAGCACAAATAAAATATCCTTAATACGGGCTGATAATGGACAGTTATGAGATTAACTTTTATAATATGGAGGATTTCTTACTCTAGCTAGCTATCAACTCCATAATGTTATTTTTCTTTCCCTCATCAGATGATCTGGAATAGGAGTGGCTGAAAAAAACAATAACCCGAGATGACATGAAAAGCTATCATTATCTGCATTTGCTGAAAAGAACAAGACTTCAAAATGTAGACTTAGATTTAGACTTGGATTAATTTTATTGTCACTTTAAATTAATTTTATTGTCACTTTAATCGGCATACACTAAAATGAAATTTTGATGCATACAGCTCTCAAGGAGGCACCACCTCCAATATACACTACATAAACATGACACTGAAAGAATTAATATGCATAGACGCAAATATATTATATGACACAGAGAAGTAACAGTCTAGTTCGGTTGTATACATGTACATGGCAAGAAAAACAAATCTTGCAAGTTTACCAGACGGATAGCATACCAGATGTATGTGGAAACACAACTTCTAGCAGCTTTTAACATACTCTCACCTTAAGTTCACACCTTCTACATTTTGGATCTTTTGCAAAATTATAGTTAGTTATAAAATGTTCTAAGAGAAAAAAGTAGTCACTTTATTTCCAAGGCAATAGAAATCCAGAAATTAAATTAGGTGAGGAAAAATTAATTACAGGGGCACCTTGGTAAGTCAACTGCTTTGAAACTCATCGCATTTGGTAATCAACACATTTTGAAGTAAACATTTTGTCCTGGTATTCATTGTTTGTTGGTCCAATGTTGGACCTCCAACGTCCCTTCCAGCCCTATGATTTTATGATTCTGATAAATTACTTACTTTTTATCTTGAATGTAGCCCTCTATTCTGTGAAGCTCTTTACCGAACAGTCCACATGGTTTAAAGTTAAGAATACATTTATCTCCAGTACTATAAAAAGAAAATGAAACAGGTTACATAGTGCTAAGATCTTCTCCCCCATTCAGCATCTGCATCATATTAATTTTTTCTTTATTTTTATTTGTATTCTGCCTTCATTATTTTCGCAAATAAATTCCAGGCAGCCAACATATCCAGCCCAGCTTTCTCCCATTATTTTCCCCAACAACCTTGCGAGACGGATCGGGGCTGAGAGAGAACGTCTTGCCCAAAATCACCTAGCTGGCTTTCAAGGCAAGACTAGAACTCCCAGTCTCCCATTCTCTAACCGGGTGCCTCAACCATTAGACCAAACTGGCTTGCTCTGTTTGTCTGCCTCTCTCATAATGTTGCTATATCACTGTGTTTTTAACTACCGTAACATGGGCAATTTTACTGTCATTTGGGCCAGTTCTTCCAGGGAATTGGGGCGGGGAGAGAAACAGACCAGCGGCTAGTTCATCCTCATACCTAGAAGGATGCCCCAACATTATGAAGTGTGGCCACTTCATAATGACAAAGGGCAGCAGAATTTAAATTGACTATGGAGATTCTCAGTCATCAGGTCCTGGTTGCCCCCAAAGTGCTTTTTTCAAGAGGCAACTGGGCTTTCTTGTTTTTCTTTGAAGATGTTTCGCTTCTCATCCAATGAGCTTCTTCAGCCAAGGTGGCGCAGTGGTTAAAGTGCTGTACTGCAGCCACTTCAGCTGACTGTTATCTGCAGTTCAGCGGTTCAAATCTCNCCCCCCCATGGAAGTGTCAAATGTAAGGCAGTGCTTAAGTTGTGAAGGTGGTGCTTTTAGTAAGTGCAGGTAAAAATGTAAATAATCTAAATGACTATCTTTTTCATAAGGAAGAAAAAAACTCCTAATATAATTAAAGCTTTTAAGTCATCAAACTTTAGTGTGTTTCAATTCTACTCTGTTCCGAAGCATTATATTTAGTATAATAGCCTGCCGTTGGTTAGAAATGAGATATACCTATGTGGGAGAACGGACTTGCAGCTTAGGAATTATTTTCCAGTACAATTAATCATTTGCAGTTAATAGCCTCCCACTATTTCTACTGGACAACAGATTTTCCGCCAGCCACCAAATCATGAACTTTAGTATAGTATATGCCTCAGTTGGTATAGAAGATGAAGACCTAATATAAATGTATTTTCAGTAGGAAGTAATTATATAAAAGGTGAATGAAAAATATTTGCTCTTCCTTTAAAATCAATTTTAATTTCAATTTGATTGTATTTTCCTCCTACAGCAAATTGGAATTTAGAAACATCCCTTGCCACTTCTTAAAAAAAAAAAGTCCAACGGGTTTAAAAAATTAATGTGATTCCTTCAAAATATTAATGCAACCCACCTGCATTTGTCTGCATGCTTAAAAGAAGCATGGCTTAACCCTTTCCAAAACTTTTACTAATAAAAGGAGATAGTGACTTAATCAAGGGAGAAAAAGTGAGTTTCTATTGTTCTCTATTTTTACGTTTCTGGAGTTAGAGCTTGAAATACTGTATCATAACAGCTGGTCTTTGTATAGCCTTATTGTTCAGATACCGAAATCAGTGGATTATGAGAGCAATATGAACAACCAATTCTGTAGTGGGCGTAAAGCACAAAAATTACTGCTGGAACCAATATTCACTGTTCCTACCAAAAAAAAAACAGAAGGGCCCATAAGAGTTTCTGGACTGGGATACATGATAAATTAATCTATTAACAATAAAATGCACACTGATTCATGGGTAACATTGTGAAGGAAAAGGCAATATATTGAAATACATTGATGCAAGTGATTTCAAGAGAGGGATTACTGAAGGTATTTTGAAGCCCTGATACAATAAATGAATTTGAAGCTGCAATATTTAGCAAGTTTAGATAACCAACAACATAACATTTAGAGTTAACTAGTGCCTGTCCAAATCAATTATCTTAAAAGTGTACTTTATTGCCTCAAGTATTTTTTCATGGTGACTTTTTTATTTTGCTTGAAATGTAATGAAAACTATTCAAATATTCCTGTGTCATAGACAAATGTCCATGGGACTATAATCCAATCTCTTAATCTTTTCGCTGCCCCTTTTAAATTATTATGCTCTTGCTGGTTTACCATTTAATAGCAAGGTAAATTATCTCCAATTTGGTAAATAATAATCTAATAAATATTAACTTATTTAGAAAGCCACACATATTATCACTAATGTGTGTTAGAAATAAAAGAAAAGTACTCTTTCCCTCTGAATCCAAACAGCTCCAGGATGACATAGCTTTGACAGGTTTAAAACTGCAAACAGTTTTACCCTTATTCTCGAGGAAATTCTACCAAGTGGAGATGCATCAAAAGCTTCCACTGTATCATTCAGCATTGCACAAATTAAAAAATTGCTGTTCAAAAACATGTTATCCAGTTGTGATGCAAGTATGTGATTGGGGGGGGGGGGGAGAGAGCTCAAAATAAATATGTACTTTTGCAAAATGTATCCGAGGCAAATTGAAAGAGGAAAAAGGATGCCCATATTATGAAATGAAATGGGAAAATCAGTCCCAAAGCAGAGCTGCAAACAATCAACATGTCTGAACAAAGCAAGGAGTATGATTTCTTACATGATATTTACATGACATCCAAGTTCCTATAAATATCTCCAAAGTGGGTTTTAAGACGAAACATTTTGCAGCTTCAAACACACAAGAGTTTGCTGTTATCCACACTTACAAAACCAGCCCAACATTCAATGGAGTAGTTCCTTTTTTAAAAAATAAAACCACAGATACTTCATTGAATCAATAAATCACAGGGCCCAGAGGCTGAGGCAAAATGGAAAAATTGCTCCTGAAAATTAAGTCTATCTCTAGTGTATGTTGTCAAACTTTTAAAAGTTAAGGAGTGTTCAAAGACTCGTGTGGATTTTGAGTCACTCTGGATTCTTGCTAGAAACTTTTTCCAATAGGATCAGCAGCGTATCTGTTAGGCTAAGGTGTCCCTGGGGTCTCCAAGTTTTGAATACTTCAAAGATATATTTTATTGTTCAATTTTATTTTATTCTTAAAAAGTACCTATCTTCTCTTTTTAAGAAAGGAGCTATTTTTCCCACCGGTTATAGCGAGTTAATTCTGGCCAAAAAAATAAAACAAAACCATGAAATGATAAATTGAAGGAAGCTAACAAAAACATGCAAGCATCTTTCCCCTTTACATAATTTCATGTTGCAGCTTCAGGAAAATGAGTTAACAGCACTTCAATATTTTGGCAAATGTACATGACAAAACCTTGATCAGTGATGGATGATTTTCATTGCTTTAGGAAAAATATATTATTTTCTTGTCATGACATAGCCCAATAGCCGCTGGACTCATTTAAGTCTATCAATTCTGGGCAAAAGAGCAACTTCCATTCAAAGTTTTCAATAGTTATCTGGACAGTCAAAGAAATTTCTATCAAAATATCCTCCCGAGTATAGCCAGTCAGCAGTCCCAGTATATGGATTCGTGTCTTGGTAAAACCATCTGTAAAGAAATTTTTTTTAAAAAGGTAGAAGAAAAGAAGTTAAATTCAGCAAAATACAGACAGTCCTTGATTTACGAATACAATTGAGCCCAACATTTCTGCTGCTATGCAAGTTTTGCCCCATTTTATGACCTTTTTTTGCCACAGCTGTTAAGCAAAGCATTGCCGCTGCTAATTGAATCATATGGTCATTAAACGAATCTGGCTTTCCTCATTGACTTTGCTTGTCAGGAGTCAGCTGGGAAGGTTACAAAGGGGATCATATCCAACATACTTTCCTCCTCCAATTTTCTCAACAACAACCCTGTGAGGCGGACTGGGCTGAGAGAGTATGACTGGCCCATTGTCACTCAGCCAACTTTTCTGCCTAAGGCGGGATCAGATAGCCTCCTGGTGATCGTCCCACAGTGGCTTTCAGGGCTGAGACGAAACTTGGACTTAAATGGTCTTTAATCTTTATTTACTTTAATGTTTAGTTTACATTTTTCTGCATTGTCTTTAATAACTCCCTGAAGAATGGTCAATAACAGGAAAATGAGATCCAGGGAACTATAGACTGTCAGATTGATGTCAATATTAAGGAAGATTCTAAAGCAGATCATAAAACACTCAATCTGGATTCAGTCCTTCACATTCTTTAATTATTCTCTCTGAGGAAAGTGTGAAGAGAACCCTTTCCAGATTTGCATCTGTGATAAAATTGAGTAAGGCAGCGAATACCCTGAGCGACAGAAATCCAGAGTGATCCTGAAGGGTTAGGAAATTGGGCTGAAAATTTAGAATTATATTTAGCAGCGCAAACGTGAAATCCTTCGCTGGGAGAAGAAATTAAATGCAGGACGCGGGAGACTAGCTTGGTAACGGTACTGGCAAGAAGCTTATCTTAGTAATTGATTGCAAAATGAGTTCAGGCTAAGCGTCTCATGTGGCTGCAAAAGGACAAACTGTAAGGCAATTTCCATCAAAGATAGTTGACAAATTATGGGAAGTAACTGTTCTGTTTTACACTTTATTGGTCACATCTCAACTTGAGTATTGTGTTCCGCTCCAAGGCTTTTGGGAAAAAATCCAGATAGGAAGATTTAGGAAGGGCAGTGAGGATTATCAAGGGACTAGAAATGTAGCCTCACAAAAAGAAGACTGAGGATAGAAATGATAGCTTTTTTTCCCAAGTATTTAAAAAGTGTCATGGAGAAGAAATGACCAGAGGAGCAGGCCAGAAGAAGGAAAAATGACTGGAATAATTAATAATAAAAGAAGGAATCAGCAGTCTGCGATGCCTATTTGCCTCTTTAATCTTCAGAAGGGAAGATTTGTAGCTCAGGCTTGAAGTGCTCCTGGTGGCCTCTGAGCTTGGTTGTTTTCTTGCAGAATTTCATTACCGAACTAGTATATAAACAGAAAGCAAACCCCACTCCCTTTTAGCACTGATAATGTTATCTAGTTGAATAATGAAATGTCTGCAGAAAACAGCCAAGGTTAGAGAGCACTAAGGATCCCATTCTTTAATCTTAATTCTGCACATTTTTCCTATTATAAAATGAAAATTGAGAGGGGGGATGGATGGATGGATGGAAAACAACTGAGGAAGTTTTATTTTATACAGCAATTCATTCCTGACTGTGCTCACAAAAAGACTGCTTGTCTCTTAATGGAAAAGTGTGAACTTTAAAAACATCATTTAAAAAACACTCATGCAAGATGAGAAAGAAGATTTCTATGTGATGAGATGCTACATAGTTCCTGGATCCAATCTGGATTTCCTACTTCAGGCACCTGAAGTGGCCAGCGGTGCACCCTTCCCTCTTTCCAGAACTATGCATTACCTTGTCCTCCAGTCAATTTCCTCTTTTGCACGGTCCTTGCGAGCAGTTCTTTGCTTTTCTTCTAGCCTCTCTTTTTCATTGCTTGCCATATCTAATAGATATTTCAAGATATTTTTTTTAATGAAAAATGCCATTACGGTAGATAAAGACGTTAAAGAAAACAGATCAAATTAAGGCCAATTTTAATACTTCTTCGTGAATCTGAACAATTTATTCAGATTTGTACTTGCCCCAGTGCATTTTTCCCTATTTGAGATTCTCAGAGTATGCTGGACTAAAAATTCCATCCCCTCTAATCAGCAGGATAAAAGTTTCACTGGGAAGGAAGGCAGAAATTATCATTCAACGCCTCTAAAAGATTTTAGGTCAAGAAAAACTATTTCCACCTAAATAATTGCACTGGGGTATTAGAAAACAAATGGAAACAAAGCAAACCACAACATTAGAACACTAAGTACCAGTATTTCTATACTCTTTTGATCATTATTAACCAATAAATTAACCAATTTCATTGTATTTATTTTGTACAACAACAATAAAGGCTATACTATACTACTATCCTGAATTCTCAACTGTCTACTGATAGTCAAACTTGAGTTCTGACAAAATATTCAGAGAGATAAAATCTACAATTATGTAAATTATATATAAAGAATGGTTGCTGGAATTAGATCTGTCTAGTTTAATGAAAAGAAGGACTAGGGGTGACATGATAGCAATCTTCCAATATCTCAGGGGCTGCCACAAAGAAGAGGCAGTCAAGCTCTTCTCCAAAGCACCTGAAGGCAGGACAAGAAGCAATGGGTGGAAACATATCAAGGAGAGACGCAACTTAAAACTAAGGAGAAATTTCCTAACAGTGAGAACAATTAATCAGTGGCGTGATTAGCTGTGGATGCTCCATTTGTCTGCAATGGTATAGGGCTTCCTGCTTGAGCAAAGGTTGGACTAGAAGAACTCCAAGATTCCTTTTAATGCTGTTATTCTGTTATTGGGTATATGCAAAAGATCCATTTAACTTGAGTTATCTGAGCAGCTGTGTTTTCCCAATGGGATTAGCCCATTTGCTAAGGAATTCCAGTGGGCGGGTCCAAGGAGAAAAGTCTCTTTTGCTGTGGCTCCATCCCTGTGGAACACTTTACCACTGGTCGGCCACTAGCCCCTCCATGAGCCAAATCAAAGGAGGAGAAGGAGGAGGAGGTGTGGGAGTCAGGGTCAGCAGCAAGGCAACCTGAGAGCTCTGAGAGGGAAGAGGGAATGGAGCTGGCAGAGAGAGAGAAAGACAGAGGCGGAACCTGGGCTGTCCTTCAACCCTCAGATGGAGAGTCAACAGCCCCCCAATCTGGAGGTGGCTGATAAGGAAGAGGAGGAACAGCTGGATCCAATGCCTGACCTGCGGATGTGCAGAAGGCAGAGGAGAGGAGAGCAGTGGAAATCCGTGGGCCAATCCTTGGGATGGAAGAGCCACCGCTGCTAGCGAAGCCCTACCCTAGCTTTAGGGATAAAGGCAGGGGGTGGAGATGAATAGATGTGGCAGACAACTATTTATCACCCGGCCGGCCGGACTTGTTAGCCTGCGGTGAGAGAGAAACGTTTTGCCGGGGCTGCCCGCACTCCCAATTAAAGGAATCTTTGAGTTAATTTCAGAGGGTTTGTCGTGTTTGGGGAGCTGGGTCAGAACAGGTGGTGAGAACCTGGCCTTGCAGAAGGGTATTAAATCTTGGTTGGCTTGGGGTGCCAAGGTTGGTGCTCACTGCTGGAGGTGGTTGATGGGGTAAGAACACATGCTTTGTCATCCATCTCTTAGTCTTAGTGTTTTGTGTAGTTTAATTTTTTAAAATTTACATCGTTTTAATATTTTATTTCTTAATAACCTGTAATCTCTCCAGAGTCACATCAGAGGAGAGGCGGGTGGCATAAAAATGTAATAAAGAAATAATAACCACTAAGCCTTCCCCTTTATTAAAACTTCCTCACAAAAATAAGCTTCAAAACCATTGAAGGAGGAGCTTGACAGAGGGGATTAAAACAGAACACCCTGCACTCAATCCACAGATAACCCTGGCAGAAAACCTCAAGACATTTAGGGCTGTAGTCTATCCCTATCCTATTATTTTTATCAACAAGAGTTTTAATTATGAGAGTTCATATCTGGAAGCTTAAAAATAAAATTTGTATATGAGAATTATAACAGAATAACAAGAGTTGGGAGGGACCTTGGAGGTCTTCGAGTGCAACCCCCCCCCCCCCCAATACCAGGAATGTGTGTGTCTGTGCGCGCGTGCTGGAGCACCACAACC